CAGATATCGACTCCGCAACGGCCGGGCCGAGGTCTAAGATCGAGGTCGGCTCGGGGAGGGTGCCCTAATGTTCTTCGTGCCTGTCGTATGTTCTTGTGCATCCTGGGATGCTTTGGTTGGCAGATGGTCTCATGTTCTTGAAGCGTGTCCCTCTGTCCCAGGTCCAGCCGCAGTCAGAAGCGCGGGGTACTCCAGATTTCGTAATAAAGGGAGGGGGGTCTCATTTCGGGGGGGGGGTCTCTTCAAGGCTATCTTGGAGGGCCTGGGGGGGTCTGGGGACGATGTTTTGGAGGGTTCTCCCACGGGGGAGGTCTGAAATGGCTTGTCTTACAGGGTCCAGACTCCCTCCCTTTTATTACGAAATCTGGAGCACCCTTGCCTCATCGCAGTGGCTGGATTTGTCTCGTACCTCGGGGCAGGATCCGCCCCCAGAGAGGCCCGTGGAGCCGCGGCGTCAGCACCGTTAATGCCCTCGGGCCTCCGCCCTCGCTCCTGGGCGCCGAGGCTCCTCCTGCAGCTACCGCCGCCTGCGGCCCTGCACCCCCGCCCTCCCCGCTTCCGGCCTCACCGCTTGTTGTCGGTATCGTTTGGCCTGCCCCTGTCAGAGGAGGGCAGGGTGAGACAAGGGTGACGCTTTTGCCTTTTTCGCCTCCGAGGGGCCTCCTCGTCGCCACGGCTGGACGCAGCGTGAAAAATCGGTGCGTTTGGACCCCGGGAGGGGTCCGGGGACCGATTTTGAGCCGATTTGGCCACCGTTGTCTCACGGTCGTTGTGTGACGTTGCCCTCCTCCGACCCTGTGCCCATCCACATCCCGATCCCGAGCCCCACCACGCCACCACAGTTGGGGACACACCCCTCGAGACCCGGAGGGAGCAGCCTGGGTCCCAATTTCAGGGGGTATCTCAGCCAGTGGGTAGAACGATGCTCATGCTGCTGCTGCGCGGAACGTTGAGGTGAGGATGCAAGTTCCGCGCTGAGCGAGGAGGCGGGGTCCCGGAGAAAGGGGTCGATGGTGAGAGATGAGAGACGAGAGGTGGTGGAGGGACAGAGGGTGCGTGCATTGAGGAGGGAGGGGGAGAGACGGGAGATGGGATGGGAAAGAGGAGGGAGGATCAAATGCAGGAGAGGCGGTCAGAGCAGATGGCAGCAGGCGTGCAAGACGTCGTGATGCTTCCCGCGAGTGGGAAGGGACTCCCGGCGCGCCGGCAGCGCGGGCGTTTCCAGGCCCCCCCCCCTTGCCGGAGGCTCTCTCCGGCGGGGCAGTACACTGCCGCGCCCGAGGGGCGCAGCCCTGGGCCAGCACGCTCTCCGCTCCTCGCCCTCTCCGCGCGCCGCTCTAAGAGTTAGGGGGCCGCACGCGAACCCTACCCCTACCCCCCACGATTTCTGAGAGGGAGGGTGGGGTTCACTTCGCGCTCGGGAGCTCCCAGACGAAGTGAACCCCACCCTCCCCCTCAGAAGTCGTGGGGGGTAGGGGTAGGGTTCTCGCGAGTGGCCCCCTGAGGGTCCTGCTGGGCGCTCTCCTGTTTCAGGGGGCCCGGAGCGCAGGCGTGCAGGACATTCGAGGCCACCCGAGGTCCTGCGCGAACCCCGAGTCCCCAGGAGATGCAACGTGTTGAAAGAACAAGACGGAGGTTTTTCGCACATCTCGGCCCCTACAGGGGCCCTCGCCGGGCCTCGGGACCGTCAACGAACTATTCAGGGTGAAAAACTGGCTCCGGGGAATGTGTCGAGACTTCCGGGGACCGCGTATTGCTCGTGGGCGGAAAGGAGGGGGGTGATGACTAGGGGGGGGTGGATATCATGGCGTGGGCCATGATATTTCCCCAGATTTCATGGCGCCTCTTCTCATTTCATTACGTCCTTGGCCCCCCCGCTGGGCCGCGCACATGCCGCTGGTCATGATTTGCATACCCCCCTCTTGGACACCCCCCTCTTTGCCGCTCCCGAATTGCACAAACCACGACATCGGATCTCTGGGTCATCAGGGCTGGGGGCAGTCACGGGTGGTTACCGATTCTCGCCTCCGGGTTCCAGAGCGGAGTTGCCCCGGACCGCAGCGATCCCGGACAGGTCGGGCGTCCAGCCCTCCCGGATCATCGGGGCCGGGGGCGGTCAGGGACAGCTGCGGGTTCGTGCCTCGGGGGCCCCAGCTGGAGTTATCCAGGCCCGCAGTTATCCCCGGCGAATTCGGGCGTCCAAAGAGCCTGCGGGAGTCGACCGCACGTAATTAAGAGCGACTCTTCGCCGGAGTGACCTCTGGTGCGCGCCCACTGGGCCCCCCCGAGCGCCGAGTGCGGCGCGATAGCAGCGTCGTGTGCGGCTGTGTGTTGGCTTCCCCGCGGCCCTCACAAAACCGCGCACCGAAGGTCACCCTTGCCCAGGGCCACTCTCGCGTGCAGCCGAGTGAGCCCCCCTCCCCGACTGCGGAGGCGACGAGTCGGGACACCGGGCGCGGAGGGCGCAGGGAGCTCCTGCGCCCGCCGTGGCGGGGTTTGGTGCGCCTCCGCCTTCTGTGCGCTCCCGCCGCCGAGGTCTGAGCGGCGGGAGGAGGAGGAGGAGGAGGAGGAGGAGGAGGAGGAGGAGGAGGAGGAGGAGGAGGAGGAGAGGAGGAGGAGGAGGAGGAGGAGGAGGAGGAGGAGGACTAAATGGGCTAAATGCAAAGCGACAGGGGAGTCGCGCGGGGGAGCCCCTGGGGCCGCAGGAGGAACACGAGCCTCCGCAACCCCAGGGCCGAGCCGTCGCTGGGCGCAGGAGGAACACGAGCCTCCGCGCACAGGGAAGCCAGAGCCGCAGGAGTAACACGAGCCTCCGCAGCACAGGGGGCGCAGGAGGAACACGAGCCTCCGCACCCCGAGGCAGGCAAGCCGCAGGAGGAGCACGAGCCTCCGCGGCACGGGGGCGCAGGAGGAACACGAGCCTCCGCACCCCAAGGCCACTCAAAACTTGGCCGACTTCACGAGCCAGCCTCGCCGAAGTCGATCACATCGAAGCCCGCTTCGTAGGCCTCCCGACAGGCGGCCAGATTCGCGGCACGGGCCGCCTCCAGCTGGGCCTCCAGCTCCACCACGACGCACGCGGTGCCCTCGATCTTCTGCTTGGCAGCGCTGAGGGTCAGCGGCCGCATCTTCTCCCCCTGAATACCCTCGGAGCCAATCTGCATCACCGAGTCCGAATCCGTCGCGACCTTCAGCATGTCGCCGACCACGGCCTCGTGCTTCACAGAGTCGTCCTTGGTCTCCCCCATGTTGAGCCGAGAGTTCTCCAGGGCCAGCTCGTGAATGGCCGAGCCCGTCACCTTCACATCGTCGGTGTCCTTGCCGACAGGAGCGCACTTGAAGTCCTTCAGCTTCAGCTCCTCCATCGGCTTCTCAACTGGCTTCAACGAGACCTCCTCGGACAACTCATTCTTGGCCTCCATGACGTCATCGAGGGAGGGTGCCGATGCCGCATCGCCAGCGGCGCGCCCTTGGCGGCGCCCTCGGCGCTTGGCCTCTTGGGCCGTGGCCGGCGCCGCGTGGGGCCCAGCGCCGAACTCCGCGTGCTGGGCCCAGCCGCGGAAGGCGCGGCTGGCGCCAGAAGGCCGAGCCTCCACGCCTTGGCGGCCAGCCTTCACCATCTCGGTCAGGTGGGGCCTCCCGAGCCGCTCGCGAACCGCGACTTCCTCCTCCACCTCGGAGTCGACACGGTGGGCGAACAGCTCAGCGCCCGTGCGGAGCGCGGAAGCGACCGCGGAGGCGACATGCTGCCGTCCGCCGCCACCTTCGGCCGCCCCCGCAGCTGCCGCCTTCACCAGCGGGGCGAGCAGCGCCACCGCCTCCCCATCCAGGGGCAATGCCGTCGCCATTGCCCGAGCCGCGGCGGGAAGCGCACGCCCGAAGCAAACTTGAGCCAAAATGGCTTGAGCCAAAATGGCTACGGAGGAGGAGGAGGAGGAGGAGGTTTGGCCCAGAGAATTTTGGCAGCCCTTCAGAGAGGGCACACCTTGTGTAGTAAACGAGGGCCGAACCTCAGGCTGTCACTCTCTGTTTACATTGTCACTTTGTATATCTCTTTGTCACTCTCTGTTTACATTGTGTTGCCGCGACACACATAACGGAGAAAGAGAAGGAAGAGACCTGGTACCGGAGAAAGAGGGCAAAACTAGCCCAAGCACGGTTACTACTCAGAGCCATTGCCGCGCAGAACCTACAGCGCAGACATCATAGTTCAGGGACCATGACGGGATCGAACTACCAGAACGCTCCCAACAGCGGGCCAGGTTTGAAGTGGGATTGCCTACGTTGTGGTCGGTTCGTGAAGGGGCACCACTGGCGGTGCTTGTGCGGACAAGGTTACGGAGCCAACCAGATAGAGGAGAGCAAAAACGGTGGTGGGCCCTTCTTCCCACGCTTTGCGCCAGCGGCAGTCAGCACAACGCGAGTCCAGCCGCCCCCGCCAGAATAACCTGACCAGCCAAGACAAGAAGGCCATCCAGCAAGTCATCAGTCGTACGATCGCTGCCTTTCGAGCGGAGGCCATGACCCACTGCAGTTTCATCGAGCCTCCGTCCGACAGCAAGGAACTCAAGGCCTTCAAGGCTAACGTCCGTCAACGCATGGAGAAGCTAGCAGTACTTGTGATCGCGGCGAAGGGAGCTAACCACGGGTGTAACGACGTCCAGCAAGAACTAGCGGTGCTCAAGATGATGCACGGCGACACGGAGACGGTCGCCCGCCAGCTTCATGTCTTGAGACCCAGTCGTGACAAGACAATCGAGAAATTCAAGAACATTCGTGGCAAGGTATGTGATCTACTTGCGGAGGAGAAGAAGGCTGACGACGAGCTCGCGAAGATGAAGGTCAACATATCAGAATTGGAAGATTTAGAAATGAATGAAGACGACATGCAAAATGCCGAGGGGATGCCAGTGCAGCACACGATTCGTTCGCCACGTCAGTATCCAGCAGGCGCGGCCCCGCCAGACTAGGCAATTCAATGCCACCAGCGCCGAATGGACCTTCTGCGACGACGGGCATGGGAACCACGCTTGGAGGAGTACCGACCCAGCACATCCCACCGCCGCCGATGCAGTTTATTCCGCCACCACCGCCCAACGTACCAACGGGTGCGCCAGGCATGCAAGAGATGACTTTGATGTTATTTGCCGTGATGGAGGTCCAGAAGCAGCAGCACATCAAGCTCGAGCAGATCACCACCAGCATGGCGCCGACTGTGGGGTTTCCAACATGGGGGGGGGGCAGCGCCAGCATGCTCCCCCGAGGTCCCGCCGACGCCAGTTGCAGCGACGCCTCCAGCCAAGAGATCACCGGCCTCCCCATCGCCTTTCGGACCAGCAAGGGTCGCCTCGCCCTCTACTTATCCGCCTGGGCAGCCGACACCAGTCGCAGGACATCTGACACCGTTGGCATCTCCGACTAGCTTTGGACCGACAGCGGCAGAGGCAGCGCAGAGAGCCGATGCAGCCGTCTCACAGCCAGTGGATTCCAGTACGGGAGTATCGGCACAGTTTGCAGAGATGAAGGTTGGAGACACCACGCCACCCACAACCCAGTGGCCGATCTCTCCTACACAGCCTATGGTCAATACGCAAGAGGATCCTCTTGTGCAGCCGCCAGTTTCCTCCATGACAGAGGTCATCAACGCTCAGACGTCACAGGAGGCGCTAGAGGCGGCCAAGCTGAAGATGAAGGGCGAGCTCGAGAGCGCGGGCACAACCGAGAGCCCCACGAAGAGCGACGCCGACACCAGGGGCCCCCTTCGGAAGGAGCCCAGGAAGGCCTGAGCAGACTCACAAGTACCCCCACAAGTGGCCAGGGCAAAAAAGTCACTTGGGGGAAGAGCTCGGTGATTTTCTTTCAGTCTGATGGGGTCCCACGGGTGTCTCCTGCTCCTTTTCGTGGGGCCCTCGAGCCCTTCACTAAATGTTTGTTCTCAGCATTCCACTAGGGGCCCATCTCAGACATATAACCTTTGCTATTGTTGTTTTAGTCACTCCCTGGGCGATCGGGGGTCAGCGGGCCAGCGCCAGCTCGTGCATGAGAACCTCGTTCATGATAATGAAGCTCTCGCCTACACGCAAGTTAAGAATGCAGCCCGGTGCCACCTTAGCCAGGCTACCGATTGCACATATCTGTTGCTCGATGCGTGCCCGTGGGAAAACAAGGCCTGTTTGGATCATTTGAGATTAATGCGCTACTGCGATTCACTAGAGTTTCTAGAGAATCTGGGAATATGCCAGACAGATTGGGACATTCAATTGTGCCATGGCGCCTGGGTCCTTGTGTGCGCCCTGCCCGACTGGGATCATTGTAACCCCCCCTCTGAGGCTGCAGTTCGTGACAGCATTCATTTTTACAACACGGGTAATCCTCAGAAGGGGGGATGCTTCTTCACTGAAGAGACGCAGCCATCTCTGAGCCAGGCGTCGGGTATCCACACCTCGAGCTCGGGAGGGGCAGATCTCCGGTTTTCGGCGAACACTCGCCCCATGTCGTTCGCTTTGGCCCAGGCCCTGCTGCTCGCACTGATCTCCATGGAACTAGTTCTTGATTCGGGGAAGCAGCTCCGTTCTTGTGACCGGTTGGTGTGTGGACTAGGAGCAGCAGTTCGCCCCGCCGAGCGAAGCCTTGCCAACTTACGAGTTTGTGCATGTGTCCATACGCGCGCAGATATTGGTCGGTCGGATGTCAGATTTCAAGCCGATTTGAATCCTGTGTTGTTCTCTATGTGCCTGAGCAGCAGTCCATTCTCCTTGCCCCCCCCCCTGTGCTGCTCATTCATCATCCCTCTCTTGGGAGTCTGCACGGCGATCGCGACTCAGAAGCGCCTGCCGCCGCGGGGGGCCCCATGGCTCATTCGGTTGGGGAACCGAGGTCCCGCCCTCTGTCTCCCGACGCCCCAGAGTTCCAACCTGAAAGCCCTTTCAGGCCCGACCCCGTTGGGGTGCCTCGACAGGGTGTGGATACAGCGAAGTACCCATCCGTTGTTGTCCGCCTCTGCTCCCTGCTTTTATCTTGGGCTTGGGGCGCATTTAGGCGTCGGGGGTGCTCCTGACTTGTGCCCGTTCTTGCCCAATGGTAACCCTCCTGATGTTGTATTCCTTGCCCTCCAGCTGGCCCCGTTGAGGCAGGGAACTTGGACGAAACTTCACTTATATACTGTTGGGTCTGTCAAGCTCCAACTAGATGAGCAAACCTCATGGGCAATGGCGGTCATCGCGGAATACCCCCAAGGCTTCTCGTTTCAAGGGTGGTGGGCAACACATCCTGGCTACTGTGGGCCCGAAGCAGTGAATCATTCCACTGTCGAGGTCGACGCTATGTTGTGCAAGGTCTGCGATGTGAGCTATGTGGTGCAAGCTATGCCCTGCACGCTCTGTTGTGCGTTGTGTTTACTCTGTGAGTCGTGTGGTGTGAGCTATGCCATCAGAGCTGTGCGATGTGAGCTGTGTGGTGCACGTTGTGCCGTGTAAGCTATACGGTGTGAGCTGTGCGGCGTGAGCGAGACGGTATACGCCATGCGGTGCAAGCTGTGTGGTGCAAGCTGTGCGGGGTGAGCCCCGTGGGGCGCCCACGAGGCACCGGCGGCCTGGACACCGGCCGAAGCCCCTGCCCCGCAGCCTACGAGGCGCACGCGGGCGTTCCCACGGCTCGGCACCGGCCGAGGCCCGGACACGCCCGCCAAGAGCGCTGGGCGCCCACGAGGCGCCCATGTCGGACGCGCAGGGACATGCTGGTGCCACGTGTCCACCCTGGAGGCGTGCGTCTGGCCCGAGCATGCCGTGTGACCATCTTGTCGTGCATCTCGTTTCCCGAGCGGCATGGCCAGAAAGCGCCCGCCGCGGAGCTTGTAATACGAGACTGTTCGGTGCGCGCGTCGCCCCTGGAGGGGCGACGCACACATAGTATTAGTACGTTGGGGTGACGCTGAGCCCACGCGCGCCAACGGTCGGGTATCAGCCGACCCCCCCACACACCCATCCAAGTCTTTGAGCAAGAGGCGCAAAACCCCAGGCAGAGCAGGCACCACCGCCTTGGGTAGTTCCGCAAGGTAGTTTACATTTGAGGTCATGAGCTCCGAGGAAATCTCAAGCGAGCTCCGAGGAAATCTCAAGCGAGAGCCATATTTTTAAAAGGAACCGCCCTCCATACGCGCAGCTGGAGCTTCTGTTCAAGTCAACGTTTTATAATATAATGAAATGGAGCCGCCCTCCATCCTTGTAACTGTTGCAAGCGTTTAACACGAATAAGCGCCGCGCTAAGGCGAGGCCCCTTTTTTGGAAGGAGGCGTCGTCCATCGTTGAAGCGATTGCAGACTTTACATGCGAATGCGCGCCGCGCTGGTGCGAGAGTCCCATGGTGAAAACGACCTGTGCTTCAACCTTTGTAGCCGTTGTAAGCCTTGAAGTCGAATGTCCGCGGCGCTGGGGCGATAGCCACATTTTGAAGAGAACGACTTTTGCTCCATCCTTGTAGCCGCTGTTGCACACTGCAGAATTTCAAAACAAATGTGCGCGGCGCTCAGGCGCGAGCGCCAATTTAAAAGCGAGCCTCTTTCCATACTTGCATCTGTTGCAGCGTTTGAAGTCGAATGTGCGTGGCGCTGAGGCGAGATCCCCATTGTCAAAACGACACGCCCTCCTTTCATGTAACAGTTGCAACTTATCACATTCAGGGTCATACATGGCGTGGAAGTGTCAGGCGAAACGCCCAGTCCGCCCAACCTACACGCCTAGGTGTGCGAGTGGGAGAAGGTACTTCTAAGGAAAATGGGTGGAGGGAGGAGGAGGAGGTGGAGGAGGACGAGGAGAAGACGAGGATGAGGAGGAGGAGGAGGAGGAGGAGGAGGAGGAAAAGGAACAGGAGGAGGTGAAGGAGGAGGAGAATGAGAAGGAGGAGGAGGAGGAGGAGGAAAAGGAACAGGAGGAGGTGAAGGAGGAGGAGAATGAGAAGGAGGAGGAGGAGGAGGAGGAGGAGGAGGAGGAGGAGGAGGAGGAGGAGGAGAGGGAGGATTCAGAGGAGGAGAGAAGGATGAGCGAGGAGGAAGGAGGAGGACCGTGGAAGGATAATTGGGGTTAGAGAAGGAGGAGTAGGAGTAGGATGGAAGGAGGAGGATCGAGTAGGATGGGGGATGATAATAGCGGAGGAGCATAAGCAGGAGGAGGAGGCGGAGGAGGAGGAGGAGCCGGAGGAGGAGATGCAGGAGGAGGAGAGAGGAGTATGAGAATTGAGGATGAATAATGATACAGGAGTGTGGAAGGATGAGGTCCGAAGAGGATTGGGAAGCAGGAGGGAGGGGGGGATGACGGCGGTGGGGCAGGAGGAGGAGGATCGAGGCTGGAGCGAGAGACGGAGGAACGGAGGACGGAGGAGGACGAAGGACGAAGCATCCCCCCCGCGCCCGCCACAGGCTTGGCATGCCGTCGGCCGCTCCCCGCCCCCTCCGCGGTGCGATGGCCGCACGCGCCTCGGACCAGAGCGGCCCCGGGGGGTCCACAGCGGCCGGTCGGGGGCCTCGCGCCTGCTCCTGCGCTGCTCATGCGGCGCCTCCGTCCTATGCGGGCAATTCTTTTGTCCATATCCACGGCAGATTGGAGATTCGGGCTCCCTTCCCCAGAAACCCGAGGCCCTCTGGACATGGATAAATATCTGCCCCCTGGAGGCTCGATATTTGAGTCCGTGTTCAGTGTGCCTCGGCCTTGTGGCGCCCCATCCAGGAGAAAGTCCAAGACTCACTGGGTATGGACTACTCTTGCCCGCATTTTACGCCTACCAGATCAGTAGATGGGGTCGGAGGATCGCGCCGCATCGCCGATGTATTGGTGATGCGGCTCGATGTGGAGCCCGATGTTCTTGCATGATGACGCCGCTGGTGCATCTCCGATGCTTAGCTGATGCATCGGCCATACAATCGCGATGCGGTGCAACCCTCCGACCCCGTCTACTCGGACTCCATCTAGGAGGCCTCTATCCATCCTCCATCCGCCTCCATCTCCAT